AGGGGGTGGCACCGCAGGGCTGCGGGAAGCGGCTGGTGCTGCAGGCCGAGCCGCACCGCGCCGGCCGGCAGTGGAAGTTCGCCGGCTCCTTCTACTTCGCCATCACGGTCATCACCACCATCGGTGAGTGCCGGCACCCCTCCGTCCCCATATCCCGGCGGCCCATCATCCCCACATCCCCTCATCGTCCCGCATCCCTCCACCCCCACAACCTCCCACACCCCCACCACCGCTGGGTGCCCCAGGACAGCCCCGGCGGGGGGGCCGCCCTTGCAAAGCTGGGACATCACTTCAGGGCACCCTCCCGAGCTGGCCCTGTGGGATCCCCAGTTCCCAGCCGTGGGAGAGGTAACCCACGGGCAGGCTGGGGGCCACCCGGTTCCGGGGGGTGCCGGGGGTGCTGCTATGGCTGGGGCCACAAAACGTGACGTGCACGTTGTCCCAGGGAGGCGGCAGCACGCAGAGCTTCTGCGGACACCTTTGGGGCAGGCAGCTGCAGAAGTTGATGGGGGTGTGGGAGGACAGAGGTGGGAGCCGCGTCCATCCTCTGTGCAGTGTTGTAGCTAGGCTGAAGAGCTGGGCAAGAACTGTTGGCTTCTTTGCCAGCTCAAAACTCTGGATGTTTGGCTGTGTGATATTCAGGGAGCCAAGACAGCCACTAGACACTGAACCTCGCTCTGCCTGCATGGGAACCTGCAGAGAGACGGGTGTCAGCTTGGAGGGGAGCAATTGAATCGCGTTAAACCTCCATATAGACACAGTTACCCAAACTGGAGCCCAGTGCCTTGGCTTGTCCACTTTAATTTTGCGAGAGAATGAGACTAAATTGAACGAGGGTTGCCTTAATTCTAGGTGAGATGAGTCACGTGAGAGTTGAGCATTGTTTAATTAATCCACTTTTATTAATCCACGTACCCTGAGCATCCCGTGGGGGTAGACAGGCATGGGATCCCGTGCTTGTGTCATTTCCCGTGCTGGGATTTCAGTCTGCAGGCAGGAGCCCTGAGGCCAAATCCTGCCCTCCCACAGCCAGCAGCCACCTCCTCGTCTGCGGGACAGGGCTTGCCCTTACCGAAGGGCTTGAGGGGGCTGAATGAATCTGTTAGCCGAAAGCTTCATCCATCAGGACGAGGGCTGGTGAGATCAACTGCGCTGCGTTACCAGGGGACAAGAGGTGGCGGAGGGGCAGATACCCTGCAGGCCCTGCCCCAGGGGGCTCCATGTCCCCCACAGCCATGGGGAGGGGGTTTGTGCAGTTGGCAACGCACATGGCCAGCAAACAGCAGTGAGTTCAGGGCACAGTTAGCATCAGGCCCCAGTAGGAGGGTAGGACAAATGGCTTCAGTTATAATCTCCCTCATCTTGTGACAGGTTATAGCTTCATTTACATGATTTTTCTGTTGACTGTGACAACCAATTGCCATGCTTATCACACACTCCATGCAATAATTTCAGCCCAGGTGCTGTGTTTCTAAAACACTGACACATCACATCTCTTTATATGGGGCTGTGCTCCAAATCTGTTTTAATGTTAATATAGCTGTGTTTATTCTTTCTAATTCGCTTTGTCATTTTGAAAGCATCAGTCAAATGCTCTTTCTGCAGTCTCTCAGGGAACAACAACTGTTTTTCCACTTACTGCTCTTCTGGATCATTATATTCACATCCTCATCGCTGCCACTGTATTATCTTATAGCCTAGGACCTGGTACTTGCACTCAGTTGTTAAGCCTGGATCTGACTGGAGGTTTTTTGCCACTGCGGTCTCATGTCTGTTCTGTATTCTGTGAAATGTGGCATGCAGACATTAAGTTTATCATTTTTGATTGGGTGGGTTTATGAACAGACAGAACAATTAGAAACCGGTCCTTTCCTGCCTGCTTGCAGTTTGGAGCACTGCACAGTCAAAGATAACACTGCAGGAGTTTCAAAGATAACATTGCAGGAGTATCTTGGAGCAGGAGGTGTGCTCAGAAGCCTGGGACAATGTGGTTATCACCCTCTGGTCTTCCCATCACTGCGTCCTAACAGCTTCCCTAAGAGTCCTGGAAAACCACTGGCAGCAGAGGCAGAGGTGAAGCTTTGAACAAGACTGGGAAATAAGAAGGGGCTTTTTTCACCCCATATCTTCATGCAGAAGTCACATGGTTACCTGGAAAAAATTAAAATATAAATAGCTGTTTGCAAACAGCCATGCAGCAGTGTGGGAAAGAGCTGGTGTTGTTCTGCAGGTGCCTTCAGAAAGGGAAGTTTCCAGCCCTGATAGTTTTTCACAGAAACTCAGGGAAAGGCTTGGATGCCTTTGGATGCCGTTACTCCCCACACTGCATGACTCCCTTGCACTGAGTTAGTTACTCATCTGCTTAGGTCAGAGGCCACCGATTTCCGTTAAGCTTATATAATTGAGGTGGGCGCAGAATCACTGAACTCCGGAAGATTGTGCTGAATACCTCATTACAACTCACAGTATAATTGTGCGTGTCCTTGAGTCACGGCTCTGAAACTTGGAGCAAGGTGGGGAAATTAAATCTCAGAAGGTGTTCAGCGAGAACCTTGTCCTCCTTGAGCTCCTTGTCCCTGGGACAAGGGATGACATGGCTTCAGTGGCATAAATACTTCCTGCATTTAAAACAGCACAACCCCTCCAGCAGTGCTTTAGGTCTGAGTCTTAGTGGCACTGGAGTAAATCCAAAGTTGCTCTGCAGAAGTCCTCCTAGACTTAACTGCTCCTGCGGAGGCTGACCCTATAGCGCAGGGGCTCTATAGCTCCTATCCAACAGGCCACACAGCAAATGATCATATAGCCTAGAGTCAAAGACGCACGTGACACTGGAGGGCTCAGGGGACAGGAGTTGGGGACAGGAGGAGGTGGCGATGGCCCTGCAAGGGCAGTTGGACAGGACTGGCTGGGTACGTACCTTCCCGCAGGGAGCCCTGGTGCTGGTGGTCTCAACATCCCATGGAGCCTCCATCCTCCCTCGCTGCAGGGGTTCAGGTTATGCTGCAGACCTGGCGCTGGCACAGCATCATTGCCTCTAAATTGGTCGTGAGCTGCAGAGGGCTTGCAGACCCCAGCCCAGCTCTGGGGCCCCTTTTAGCTTCCATAACAGCATACGAGCTCAGGGGCTATCAGGAGGTACCTTCTACCTTTAGAGGCCAAATGAGGTTCTTCTGACATGATACTGTGATGTGCCATCACCCCAAAGGATGTGGCATCCCGTGGCCCCGTTAGCACTGCCTGCAGATCTGTTACTGATTCATTTCCCCCCATTCTCCTGCTCCTCTTGGTCCCAGGGCAGCCTTGCTGGAAACCCCAGTGAGGGCTTGATGCCTGCCTTTCCTCTTTCCTTCACAGGCTATGGGCACGCCGCCCCAGGCACAGATGCTGGCAAAGTTTTCTGCATGTTCTACGCCATCCTGGGCATCCCCCTGACACTGGTCATGTTCCAGAGTCTGGGAGAGCGCATGAACACCGTTGTGCGTCTACTGCTCAAGAAGATCAAGAAGTGTCTGGGCATGAGGACAACCAATGTCTCCATGGAGAACATGGTCCTCGTCGGCTTTCTGTCCTGCATGGGGACCCTGTGCATCGGCGCAGCAGCCTTCTCTTATTTTGAGGGCTGGACTTTCTTTCATGCCTATTACTACTGCTTCATAACCTTGACCACTATTGGCTTTGGAGACTTTGTGGCTCTGCAGAAGAATGAGGCTTTGCAAAAGAAGCCCCCGTATGTGGCTTTCAGCTTCATGTACATCCTGGTGGGCCTGACCGTCATCGGCGCCTTCCTCAACCTGGTGGTGCTGCGGTTCCTGACGATGAACTCAGAGGACGAGCGGCGGGACGCCGAAGAGCGAGCCTCGCTGAGGAGAGCCCGGAACAACATCCACCTCAAGCCGAAAGAGGACAGCCAGTGCAGCAATGCCATTTTTCTCCCTGTGGAGGACAGGACAAGCCAGATGAACCTCATCCCGCTGATCCAGGAGGACGCGGAGAGGCAGCGGCGCCAGTCGGCCAACTCGGCAGCCGCGGTCCCCTCCTTCTGCACGTGTCTGTGCTACAGACCTCAGCTGTGCAGCAGCCCGGTGCCCTCCCACCCCGAGACCCTGAGCTGCCACACCAACCCTGTCTATTACAACTCCATTTCCTACAAAATCGACGAGGTCTCCCTGAGCACGCGGGGTCAGACCGGCTCTTCCCCAGGGAGCACTTTATCATCCAACAGCCCTCGCTGCCGGCAACACCCCCGGCTGCGGAGGAAATCCATCTAGGAGTGCGTGCTGAGCTGTACTCAGTGCTCGAGTCTTACTATGATGATAAATTAAGAACAGAGATGTCAGGTCCTTCTTACTGCTCACATTTCTTCCATTTCTCTCCCCTTTCAGCTGGCAGCCAGCCCCATGCAGGGTCCAGCAGGAACCTTTGAAACCCTGTTGAGAAATAATCTTTCCCTTTTGCAGGCACTGAATGACATTGTTAGTTTTTCTTTGCTTTTTTCCTCCCAAGTAGGTTCAAGCATTTGGGTCTGGCAAGAGACTCCCTGATGTGAAGTCCAGCAAGCTGTAGGTTTGCTCTCCCACCTCCCTGCTCCCCCAAGAGAGGCATTTCTGCCCTCCCCCCCTGCCTGACCTTGGCTGTGGTCACTGCCAGCACATGCCTCTTGCTATATGGGCTAGATTGCACTTGCTGAGAGCATATCAAAAGCAAAGTCCATGCTAGGGAGCCCTGCAGGGTTGGGGGTCTTTAAGTTGTCCTCTGACACTGGGTGCAGGTAAGTCGGTGCCAGGCAGCAGGTTTGCAGCTGGTGGATGGGCAGGGAGAGGTGGGCAGGAGGGGGCAGGCTGCAGTCCTGCTGCTCAGCACACAGGGACAGCTTCATGGCACTGCATCTCCCATGGCCAGCCCTCAAGGTCCCAGCTCAGGCTTGTGGCTGGCTCAGTCCTTTTGGGAGCTGAGGGTCCATACACTTCCCCACATACCCACCAGCACACCTTACCTCACTACTCATAGATCCTCCAGGCTGAGCTGGCTGGTGGGATGCTGTGTCCCATCTGCAAGGGAAGCTGAACAGCCACAGCTCCAGCCCTCCTCTGTGATGAGCCCAACCTGTGCCTAGGGCACAGCCTTGGGGAGAACCTCCCTGAACCCCACAGAGCCACCTGCAAGGGGTTTGGCCCTGATGAGATCATTAGCTAAATTCACCCTTTCCCTCACAACCTTTCTTCCAGCTGACAACCCAGCACGCATGTCTGCTCCTTGCCTCCTCCTGGTCCCTGTGAGCCCATGGGTTTTGCCGATTGCTGCTGGGGTTATCAGAGGTGGGGTGAGCCCATCTCACTGTATCTCCCTGGGTGGGATGCGGTACCCACACAGCCTCGCCTAGGAGGCTGTTTCCAGCTGGTGTCCCTCATCCATCCTGCCTCATTTCCAAGAAAACAGGACTAGGCTCTGACAGTGGCAGCAGCTCCGTTTCACTTTTTTCCCCCAATAAAGGGACATTTCCACTCTTAGTTCTACACAAAATACCCTCTGAGGGGGTTTTCACAGAGGGAAGTCCCCTTTTCCTGGTGGGGGAGGCATGCATCAGGGTTGGGAAAGCCTCAGGGCAGGCTTTGCTCTCTCCTCTTTGTTCTGGGCGGTTTAATAAAAGGTGAATCCAGCTGGTGGCAGTCGGTTATTTGTCACGAGGGGGAGCAGAGATGTGTCTGAGCCCCAAACCCTGGCCTTGCCCCACTGCAGGGGTATGCCAGGGCTGGCTCCCCTGCCATGGGGGTATGGGCAGTGATTATATCCAGGGATAATATCCCTGTAGATGTTTGCTGGGATATTTGGGCATCAGAGGGAGGAGGGGGCAGAGTGGCTGTCCAGAGCTCGGAAGCAGCTGGGTCTTGTTGCCCATCGTGGGATGGTGTCTTTGCCCCCTGCATGGGGATACCCAGGGCTCCTCCACCCTCCCTGGCCGGTGACCTTCATTTTTCCAACCTTTCCCGGTTCTTGGGCTTCCCTGGAAGCAGCTTTGGGCTTTGATGTTACCCCAAATCTGTGCAGGCTTGTTACGACTAGGACTTTCTTGTTCCAGTCTCTAAAATGGCAGGGATTTGGGCTTCCAGACAGGTCCTGCCCAAGCAGGCAAGTGCAGGGATGGGCAGGAGCTCAGATGGCAGGAACTCTGATGGCAGGGCTGGCTGGCAGAAGAGCAGAGCAGTGCTGTCAGGGCAGGTCTGCAGTGGGGCTGCTGCGCTGCCTGGGTAGGTGAGGGGGCTTCCTTGACTGGTGCCTTTATTTGGGGGATGCTCTCTGGCACAGCTGCCTGCTCCGTGCCAGGTTCTCCAGCCCACTGGAGGCAGAGGTGAGACTTTGCACTCTTTCTTGGTGTGTGCCATGGCCACAATAGATCCATCCTGCCTGTCCCCAGGCAGCAGGACTCTCACACGAGATGCTCGGCCCTTCCTGGCCTCAGCCCATGCCCTCGTCCCACGTGTAGGCAGGGAAGGGACAGTGACAGAGCCAGGAGCACAGCCCTGGGCCACACAGCCTGGGAGGTTGGTGCAGGCACTGCTGGGCCGGCATAAGGGGTTTGCGAGACCTTCAGCAGGATGTACCCCAGGGCCCTTCGGGGTCTGTGGCATCTTGTGAGCGGCAGGGCAGGGGGCAGAGAGCCTCCTGCCACCAAAGTGCCCTGGCAATGCTTTCCCCCCCCCGCGCAGCAGCTGCATCACTTTGCACCAGTGGCCTCAAATCTGGACCAGCTGTCTAAGCCTTGGTTTAAATAGAAAGGGGGAGAGGGGGGGGAAGAAGGCAAGCTGTGAGTGTATTAAACAGGCTTGAGGAGGCTTTTGTTGGCTTCTCAGCTCCTCAGTGGTGTCATTTCATGCTGATCCCACCAGCTCAGCCCCTTTGTTGCCATGGCCTATCCCTCCCCAAGAGCGTCAGCCTGAGGCTTGGCTGTGCTGTGCTGCCCCTGCCATCAGAGATGGGCAGCAGATGGACTCTTGCCCTTTCCGTGTTGAACCTGGGACACCCTCCGAGTGGCCAGGCTGGAGCCGGCACCTCTCATCCTCCATACACCCTCGTGAAAGAAAGCAGCTCCTCAAATCCTGCACAAGAATGCACATGTCATTGCCCTGGTGAAATCCACCTCTTCTGGAGCTGGAAGTGAGAGAAGAACCACAACCCAGAGGCTGAGCCAGCCTTGCGCTCTCCCTCTGGCTTCAGTGCAGTGCTGCCAGCGCTCGGTGGCTCTGCGCTCGTACCGCAGAGCCCGTGATGCGACGGTGCAAAGGCAAAGCCCAGCAGAGGCACCAGGGCTGGTGGCGTGATGTCTGCACCATGGAGCCTTTCTCGGGCAGAGGATGGAGCTGGTGATGAGCTGAGAGCGCAGAAGCAGGGCACCTGCTTGGGTTTATTGCTGCTTTTGTGCAGTCTGAGCTGCTAAGCAGCGCTGCTGGGGAGCGGAGTTGCTTAGTGACTGCCTGAGCCCCATCCTGCTTTTGGAAGCTGGGGATGGTCTGAGGGTGGGAGGTGCCATTCATCCCCCGGTGCTGGGCTGGGCTGCCCCAACCTCCCAGGCACTCATGCTGCTGGAGAGATCATACTCCTCCTTCTCCCTCCACCACTGTAGCTGGGGTGAGTGGGTAAGGTCCTGCCCTGAAGACCTGCAGAGGGATTTGGAGGCACGAGAAAAATCTGCAAGAAATTCTCCGTGAACTGAGACTTTGTGATCCCTTGTCACTCGCATGGGAAAAGGGCTCCCCAGGGAATGCTGCCTACGATCGCCACCTCTCCCGCAGACCCCCACAGCGGGAGTCACACCAGAGCCCTCAAATGCTCCCCACCCAAAGGGGAGCTCAAGGCCATACAGGCCCAGGCAGTAGCTGCACACCCAGTAACACCCATGGGCCTCCTTCCCCAGGGTCCTCCTGCACCCACACTCAGTATTCCCAACAGCCTGGGCCAGGAGTAGCTGCAGCAGCATCTTCACATCTAAGGTTTCCAAATCAACCTTGAAGGGCCAGTGGTGGCCATGAAGGGTCTTGGGAAGAAAGGAGTAGGAGCAGAAGGCAGCGGGGCAGTGAGCAGAGTACAGGCTGGAACCAAGCTTAGCTCTGTGCCTGGAGATGCCCACAGCCAAGTCACACCTGGAAATGGCACAAGGAAATGCAGGTTTGAAGGTGGGGTTAATTCAGAGAAAACCCTTCCACGGAGAGCACCAGGAAGGAGCCTGGGACAGCGCTGGGACACATCAGGCTGAGCTGCTCACATTCCCTATAGGCACAAGGAGAAGGGAGGGGTCAGCTGAAATCTTTTTGAAGATAATGGTGGTGGCAACAGAAAGGGCAGAGACACTCCACAAAAATCCTCCAACACACCATAGGAAAAAAAAAGGTTTTATTATCACCATTATCAACGTTTTCATTAGCTTAACACTGAATTGTAAATCACTCAATCATTACATATTGTCTGAATAAAACCTACAGACAGGAAAAAAGTATAGTAGAATCCTCTCCTGACTACAGACGAGCGGCCGGTGTCCCACCGGCGCTGCCGGGACGGCGTCCCACCTTCCACCCAAGGCAGCCCACGCACCTCACAAACAACTCGCCACAGTGGCAAGCAGGCTGCCTGGCTCCGTTGCCTGTGGTCCCTCGGGCTCTGCAGAGATTACCTCTCACCAGATGATGTTAAAAACCTCCAGAAAGTTTTGGAGAGGGTTACAGAGGCCAAAAAGAGCAGATCAGCTGCCCCCACTCCTACAAGAAAGGCAAGAGGAGAGGTAGCAACCATGTAGTGCTCCTGCAAAGCTATTGGGAAGCAATTAACAAAGTAAAAAGGTTTAACCCCACGAAAGCAGCTTTCCCTATGGCGGCCAGGCCCCTGGGCAGCGGGGGTACAAGGCAGAGCACCAGCACGCTGGCACGGGGGAGGCGAGAGCGTGGATGGGCTGGGGTGGCTCCATCCCTGAGCAGAGACCAGCTCTGCAGCACTGCCCTGGGGCTCCCCGTGGGCAGCGCGGGATGGAGGCCTCAGTGCAGAGATGCTGCGGGCAGCCTCGGTCCCCTCGGGATGGAATAAGGCCTCTACCGAGAGGGAAGGGAGAACCCATGCAGGGAGCAGCGGGCGCAGGGGAAAGCAAAAGGAACCTGGGGGAAAGCTCGCTGGGAGCTCCCCTTCTCCCTGGCCAGCACAGAGGCAGTTCCCTCCCTGTCCCTGCCTTCTCCCAGCTGTCTGTATGACACATCACCCTGCGAGGGATGCCGAGCCCTTGCAGAAGACCCCCAGCTCCTACCAAGGACGGGAAAGGAAGGACCCCCTGTGGTCCAAATTCAGGACTGCCACGAAACATGGGCATGACCCCAGCATCCCAGGTGGGTGGCAGGCCATGGCAGTGCTGTGCAGGGGGGTCTGGGGTGAGGCACTGCATCCACCGGGTGCCCTTTCCACCTGGCACAGGGAGCAGCCTGCAGCTCACCGCAAGAAGGCAAGCCCAGCGCCGTGAGGCTGGAGGAACGTGCCTTGGATTCACTCTCCAAATCTTGATCTTCCTTTCTCCAAACAAAGCCAAAACCAGCTCCAGGTCAAGGAGATAGAATCACCAAAGCAGAGACCAGTGAGCAGCACTGGGTAAGGAGCAACAGCCCCAGAGAAAAAAGTGCTGCAGGATTTAAAGTTCCAAGCTGGTGTTTAGGGGGAGCTGGAGCCCCCGTGGGCAGCTATCCTAATCTGTAGTGCCCAAGCAATTACAAAAACCTAGCTCCTGGAAAGCTTGTGGGCATAGCTTCAGCAGAAGGTGTGTGCCTCGATTCTTTCCTTGGGCTGCTTCTCCCCCATCCCTGCCCAGTGAGCAGAGCTCACTGCTGCCCACGCCCTGTGTGTGCCCGCACGGCCTCTCTACAGACAAAGCCCTTTCCTTCCCACGCAGGGGGGTCTCAAGCCCACACGAGGTGCCCAGCATGCAGTGTAAATGCAAAGGCTGCCTACTGACTTGGCAGAGCGGGGTTTAACCATATAGCTTTGGTTGCCATTTTAGCTACTGGAAAGTCATGAAGGGAAAATCGTTAGGTTGTAGCCTCTGTTTGCTGGTGCTGGCTCCTCCTGTTTCAGCTGCTAAAGTGCAACGAACCAAATGCTACAAGAAACTCTCCCCAGCTTCTCTCCTCTACCCAATGAGAGCAGTGACCACAAGGAAGGGAGGGCAGAAGGGTGTCTACACCGTGAGAGGAGCTTGAGGTTCCCCAGGAACGAATCTGATGCTGCTGTCGTGGGTGAGTGGCTGGGGCTAGGGACGGATGGGCAGCTGCTTGGTCACCGAGATGTTGGTCACCGAGCAGAGGAGTCTGGCAGTGTGAGTTTAAGATCCATTAGCCACATTTTGAGAATACCTAATCACTCACAAACTCCCCAGGGAATTACCAGGTTCACAGAGGCCCGCTGGAAAGCCAGCAGACCCTCAGATACACAAAGGGCGCAGCAGGAGAGCAGCTCCAGGCTCTGCCATGCCAGGTCTCACAAGTGTCCCATGGACTTGGCTGCCGGGTCTTGCGTTGGCAAAGGGCTTGTAAAAGGGAACAAGACACTGACTGCAAAACCAGCCAGCCCCTTTGGAGGGATTTCTCCTCCCTAAGGGAACCTGGCATTTTCCAAAGTGTTACTGTGCGCTGTGTACCTGCATACATTCGTACAGACACACACATGTGGACATCCACAAGCACACACCTTGGCAGGTGCACACTGGGGTAAACATGAAAAGGCTTTTACCTATCATCCTCTTTTCCAAATGTTTGGCTCGAATTTGGTAGCTGCAATTTCTTTTTAGATGCTTGCTCCAGGTCTCAACATGCCCTGGACTTCTCTGCTGATAGCACTTCGCATTTACACATCTCTCTCTTCTCAAAGCATATCACAAAACCCCATGAATTATTTCATCATTCACTGGGGCTCCCACCATCACTGGGCCAGTGACCTGCTTCCTGCATGGCCAGAGGACTGGCAATCTTGAGAACAACATGAAGATTTTTTCCCATGGGAAATGCTGTGATAAATCCACAGGCAATGAACTGGGATGCTGTTTTGAAGCTGGTTGATTTTATTCACTGCATCAATGATAGAGCTGATTTAAAATCCAATATCCTCATCTGCCACTTTGGAAAAATCTTTTGGTGAGCCCAACATTAGCTAACTTCTGAAGAACGGCACAGAACAGCCTGTTCCTGTTTCACACATTAGTCCCCTGTGATCCTCTGCGAAGGTGCATTTTCTCTGCCTTGGGTGGAATTTTCTAACAAAATGGACAAATACCATCTATATAATGGACAAAATAACCCACAAAGCCTTTAAAGAAGAGCAGCTCAATCTGCCGCTCTGAAAAAACCCTCCCTTTAGCTTGCTCCTGGTATCTTGAGGAAAATAGGCAGCTGTCAGGCAGAACTCATGCAGCCCCAGAGTGCAAAGGCTTTTTTGCTTAATCAGGGCTACAGTGGCAGTGGGAACCATTCTCGTTGAGTTACAAATACTAGATAGCCTAAGAAAAACAGGGAAATTGAAACAGTCATGAAGTTTATATTGAACCTATTTTCTACCTCTGTAGTATGAAGTTACCTACAGCTGTTTCATTCTTCACCTAAGAGAGATTTCATGTCGATGGGCACATATACTCACAGAGAAGTCTGTAGGATGAATGTATCTCACAAGGCAACAGCCCAGTCTTCGTTTTTTACAATCAATATGGATCTTTTTCAAAAGTGATGTCATTGAGATTGAAGACAATTATAAACTGTATCAACAATATGTACTACAGCCTGCAAGTCACAATCTGTGCACACCAAATGGAATATATTATTGCTTGTTAGCCTATTAGACTTTCTTTATAAAAAGATTTTTATACAGAGTACAGGATTATGACAAAACTAGCTAAGTAGTTCTCATCTTGAAAATACAACATCAATTCTTTCAACAAAGGCTTGAATAGTAGCTAAGTGTTAATGAACAATAACAAATATTTACCAATAATTTTATGGCCAGTTTGAACAGAATTTCTTATAGGACTCTTCTGGTGTTTATTTACATATGCCTCTTCTTTTGGAAAAAAGTTGATAAAATATAACAAGGAACATAGAAATCAAAAGAATGAGTAAACTTCATACCAAGAACATTAACCATTTTTGAAAACACTAAATTATGTTATCTGTTAAAAAACATACATCATTTTGTCCTTAAAGAAAAATATTTTTCCTGTTTTAAAATATTACCAACATCATGTAATAAACTAACTTAAAATGAGTTTCATAAAAAAGTTGTCTTGTCTAAACATTACTAAACATGCTTAGGTTGAGATTCTGTTAACTGCCTCAACATCTTAAAAATAGCTCCTTTACAGGAACTTGTGATATTCATACTCCAGAAGACCTGCAAATTTAGAACAGTACATTGATAAAGGATCTGGTAGCTAGAAACAATAAATATATATTTTCATTCAAAGCAAATAATTCTGAAACATCCTTTGCAACAATCCATGGCCAAGAAGTGGGGATGCACCTGGCTAAACAATAAAGTCACCTGGCCCTTACCCTGCCCATGGGCACAAACGCCCGTGTGCTCATGTCCCCAGAAGGGATGCTCCACCTGCCCACATGGCTTCGGCTGCAGGTTGAAGACCATGGATTGAACTTCAGAGTGAGGACCCTGGCTCTGTGGCATCCCATTTGGGCAAAGCGAAAGCAACAACAGGAGACTGGGAAAATATCATGTTTTTTTGCCTGAACAACTAGGACTAACCACAGTCATGGCTGCTTTTTGCTCAGACCACAGAGAGAACAAAGCCATGTGTGAGGCATGGTTCTGGTGCTCTGCTCCCTGCTGTGTGCTGGGGATTCCCACTGGGGAAAGATCATTCTGCTCTCAGGGATGCTCTCAACATCAGGATTTCACTGTTTTCCATGCTAATAGTAATGCCAGTAACATTGAGGTACAGGCTCTCCACTTTTTTTTTGCAAGCAATCCTCCCATTACTATTAAGGTCGAGTATTTCATGCACAAGGAACAGGGAATCAACCCTGAGCTGGGCAGGTATTTCTGTCTCCTCAATCTCATCCCTCATCATCACTCACAGACCAAAAATACTATGATGCCTCTTGGTTTAAGTCTCTTGGCTCTTCCTCTCTCTTCCCATCCCTGACTATAACTAACAACTAGACTCAGACACAGGTAAAAACTCAGTCAGGACTTGCAAAGGGGATCAAAGTTTAGTTTTCAGCTACTCTCACTCTAGCAAACTGCTACTTTTTCCACAACCACACTGGTAATCCCAACTGTCATATCACATCATCTTAGAAACTAGCAAGTCAAATTTGAGTGGAAAAAAAAGATTAGGCTTTATAAAAATAAGCTATTCCAAGCCTGAGACCTGCTTTGAATGCTATATTGAGAGTCTTTAAATTGATGGATAACTAGAAGACTTCTTTTTTAACTATAATACACCATGGTCAGTGCAGGAATCACGGGCATGAGTGAAGCAAGAATTTATGACTGCAGGGTACCGTGCAGCTCTCCTGGCCTCACTCCCCACGGGCACTCCCAGAAGGGCTCCAGTGAGTCTGCTTTACCAAGGAAGATCATCTGCACCTGCCAGTTCATGTGACTTCGCTGTGCGTGGCAGCCAGGGGTTGCAACGTTTGCTTACTGGGGAGAAACGGGACTTGGAAGTGAGTATAAACAAAAGCGAGAACCACTGGACTACAATCAACTACGAAAAAAATGCAGAAGAAAACAGGACAGAGCAGACTGTTAAAACTGCCTCCAAATTTCAGAATCTGAGACGTTAACAAAAATAACATAACTGGAACTGTAACTTTTTTTGTTACCCTGACAGTGAACTTTTAGCATGATTAAAAACAGACAGAAGATAAGTCTTCAGTGTTAAGTAGTCCTATTGTAACTAAACTGATCACCACTGAGCTTGCAGAGCTTTTGGAGGAGTAGGATATAGAGACACATCACATTTGCCAGGCATACAGGAACTGAGGTTTTCAACAGACAGTCATTAAACAAAGTTTTCCAGGGGAATATTTTTGGCATATATAGTCTCCTACTCCCACTAAAGACTGCAAAAATGTTGCATTCATCTTACTGGACACAGGAAAACCATGATTAACTAGCTATTACTGGTAGATAATGTCCAAACTAAGTACCAATATAAAGTTTTCGGCATAACTTAAGACAGAAGCCCTGTTACTCAGCTGCCAGGTCTGGCACGTACCTGGAGCTCCCCATGGTCCTTTTGAAGACATAGTTATTAAAAGATCCAGTGCTACAAACCACTAAATCTACCTAATCTATTCTAGTTCATACACATATTTTACAATATTGCCTAGTACTCACTACATACCAAGAGGAAAAGATGCTGACTTGAATTACAGTAAATGTGCTTTTTTTTTTTTAAATAAAAATAAAAGAGAGCGCCACAACATAGTTTGACCAGCATGCAACAAACTTTCTTCAGCTAATATATAGAAATTGTCTAATACGATTAGAAAAAATAATTAGTGAGAGGCCAGAGACATCTTTGATCGAGGAAATTAAGAGATTTATCTGAAATGTTGAGGCTTTTGCCACTGAAGACTCAAAAAACTATTCATTCTATGTCCCTTCTCTTCCTCCCCTCTATATTATATATTTTTTTTACAGAGATTATTGTAAGGCCTATTATTTTTGCATCTATCCTGTAATTTATCTCAAAATAATTTAAAATGCCATAGACAAGCTAGGACCAAAAGCAACTGCTTTTACCATCCACTCAACACTCATGCTTTTATTCTAACAAAGCTGAGGTCCACATGCAGAAATAAATGTTCAGTATGCCTCTACGACAGGTCAAGAATCTGCTTACTCCTAAACGTGACATGGGACCTTCACTTTTAAATCACAAAGTAAAACATCTCCAAAAGCTTATTTCTGAGACAGCAGTCATCAAATCCTCGTTCAAAACCTAGCCAAAACAGGCCAATCAACAGAAAATCTTTGGAGATTCTCTGTGATTCTGGAGAGTAAGTTTTTAATTGCCTGAAGGATCCAGCGGACCTCACTCCAGCACGTGACTCTGCTGACAGCACCTGCCCCAGCTCAGCAGCTCAGAGAATGTGCTTTACTGGCTTAATCTACAGACTTGTTTACAGTTAGTGTTGCACTTTAATTAACAAAATATACATGCTGTGACCACTGCATCTTCAGATTCCTCACCCACTACCTCTCCATACTTTGGGAATTGCACCTCCTCTTTCAGGACACTTGACAATGTTTGTGTACTACCGAGACTGCCTAACGCACCCTTCTCTCCACAAGGAAGGTTACGTGTTCTCCAGCCCCTTCTTGTCAGATGACAAACTGAGGTTTCTTCTGCACCCCCAGAAACCTCAATCTCCTCTCCCGTGGAAGAATAAACAGTCCTGTTTCAGGTCAGTCCATAGCACAACGGGAAGGGCAGCATCTCCAGCAGATATGTACCAGTACAAACGAGATGGAGGAAAAGCAGGAGATAGAAGACACTGTGACTGAAGGATGCACAGCAACAAGTAAGGGAGTTGCAGAACATTGTATCTGACAATACAAAACATATCTCAAGCTGCAAGTCTGATGTTCAGCTCCCACTTCCAGTGGGTTTTCTTCTGAGCAAAATTGTAGTTAATTAGCCTGCTAAACTCAAACTCTGTTCAAACTGCCTGGTCTAAGTAGGCGCTACTTATTCTCCCACCAAGTATGCTTCATCAGCAGTGTTAGACAAGTAATGCGGTAAAGACACTTGCTGGTAATTTGGCACAGTTTGAAAACACAGCAATGACAGTGTTACAGCTAACATGACTCAGTGATAGGAACTGATTCTAAAGAAAGAGTTGCAGGCTTCTTTCTTTTTCTTCCTTTCAAGAAAAAAGACCTTATAAAAAACCTAATACTTCCTCTTGAACTTTCTGCTCCTGCTCTTTTTAGGTCAGATATTGGCCTCTGAATTTTTCAAGTACTTTCTTGTGAAAGAATACGTATTAGAAATTTCTAAGACACAAAGCTAAGAAAAATCCTTTCCTTACTCCCCAAAATTCTTTCAAGTGCTGCAACTTTCCAGGGTTAATACTGATCTGAAACAAGGGTCTAAGAATGACGGCGAGCGAAGTGAAACAAGAGGTGTATGTCTAATTTGACAACTAGGACTCATGCCCCACGGCACCTCCTCCTTGGATGGAGAGGGCACAGTGCCCTCCCCCTCGTCTTCTGTCTAAGGTCACTGGTTTATCCTCCTCTTCCAGCTCCACAAGAACTGATTGAACATGCATTGCGCTTGAGGTCAGAGTTCCAGCAAACAAAACCTTGACAGCATGTTTAAAAAACAAAAGCAGTTCCCCCTTCCTTACTCACTAAGACCTGTCACAGCAGGGTCCCACTGTGCTCTCCAGGGAAAGCTGTGAGGACTGACGCAGGAGCGGGCCTGTAGTGGGATCTACCATCGAGGAGGTTGGGAAGAGCTTATACCAGCCGATTGCTAAAGTTGACAAATCCAGTTCTTCCAGGAGGACCCTGGCGACTCCCATGAAGTGCTTGCGCTCCATGCGTCCATAGTTTCCCCAGACTATCACCTTAGGAACAAGACAGGGGGCACAGTTAATCCTCCAACTTGCACACTTGCTTGGGAAGCCCAAGTCTGATGAACTCTTTTTTGCTCATCCAACTTTCTGGGGCTTTACCATAGTCCAAAAAGAGCAGAAAGCTTTACACCACCAACAAGTGACTTGAAGCTCTTGATGTTGATTTTACTTTGCTTTTTTAAGCACAGTTTTACAAATCCTGATGTTATTAGCCTCCCACCCACCCCTCACCCCCCCCAGAAAGAGGTGAATGCTCATGGGGAGGAGACACTGTTCTGCTGTTCAACCTGCTGGGCAGGGGCAGCACGTGCACAAAGTATCTCTGGAACTGCAGCTCCAACACCAGCAGGTAAAAGCTGGTCTTGGCACAGTAATGGGCCTTGGACACAACAAAAGATGGCTTGGGGGAAAAGGGCAGGAAGGACTCCTGATCTGAAAAATAAACCAACAAAAAAAAAAAAAGGTGGGCAACAGCTTGGGTCAAAATCCAACATTCTGAGGAAAAGAGCATGTCTTAACTTCTGCACTTGGAGCTGGTGACACAGGGCAGATGGAGACCAGGCACAGCTACTCACCTGGAGAAAGGGCAGGAGCTGAGTGTTGGCAAGAGGGACTGGTGACGCAAGGGACACACATGGAGTGGCATGCAGGGGAAGTAGAACAGTGTGTTGGGAAAGGCTTGCAGACGCTGAGGAAGGTCTAATGAGAGAGAGCTGGCAGACGAGCAGGGAAAGCTGAATCACACTTACGACACGATGGAGACCAGTGGGTGGAACAACAGATGTAGTGAGGGTCATGGGCTTAGGCATGCTGGTGGTCTGCACTTGACCAAGCGCCCTACGCAGCTCAAGACAAAGGTGACGACTGACTCCAGAGCGAGTCCATGTTCTGAAGAGAGGATGAGCACGGTGGGTTATGATGGGGAGTAGTGATCTCTGTCTAATCCTGTCAGCTTCTTTCCCTAGGCTCTGAATAAGCAAAATATTACATCTTTCTGTAAAATGAGGCAGGAGAGACAATGAGTGTTAATTAAAAGACAAAAATTAACACTCTAGGTCAACATGAGATGGAGCAAGCCACTGCAGAAAGTTGGTTTGGTGGCATGGCCACTGGCAGAGAGGCAAGCTCCTCATTTTATACTCTTGGAATAAATGCCTTTCCTGGCAGCCAGGCAGCAGGCAAGGACACCCATGTAAGGCAAGAGCAGACCAAGCCAGGTCTCACTCCATTTCAGTCAAAAATGTGTAGTCACATTGCAACAGGGGGAAAATACAAGGTAAATGAGGAAGAGTTCACTATTGAGAGGGATCCAGCAGGTTAGCTGGCAATTCATATGCCAGTGGAAGTAAGCAATAGAAAGTCACAGGTTAATTATATCAACATTACCAGTAAATTATAGCCAGGTTTTATTGGATAGAAATGACTTAGGTATGAATTAATAATGCAAATCACACTTTGCTCTGGAAACATAGGCCAGAATTGAAAACAGGAGTATGGCAGAAATGTATGGCAGTAAAAACAAAGAGGTAGAAAACAGTAGAATATGTGACTGGGTGACGGCCAAAGCAGAGTGCTCTGAATACATACAAACACAGAAGACAACCTATGCTGCAAGATTGGTTGGCATCTGTAAATACTACCTATCTCCTAACTGGGCAGAAAAGAAAGAATTAAAAAAATAAAAATCAACCTTTTCCTGGTAGACACTTGTGTTACCTGGCAGGGTGTGAAATAATAATCAGTTTGAGTAGGAAAAAAAGGTTTTCCTTTCCATTTGTCACATTCAGATCAAGTGCATTTGACTCAATGAAAACACTGGCTTTTTCTCATCTATGTTATTTGTCCAGATCCCTTGCCAGACTCAGTATCTTCCAGCAGAGGTGGAAGAGAGAGATAGGCAGACCTGAGGCTTGCATATCTTACCTGTAATACTTTGCCCTGGGGGCTCTCAGGAAACAGTAACACCTGATTGTACAAAGGGTCTAATGATTTGCGAGCCACTTTTGTCTTCTTTTTCGCAATGCACACGCCATTCTCTAGCAGGTAAGCTTTGATGTAAGCAGCTGGAAAACATAAGTATGGTCAAATATGAAAAAAAATCTTCATGCTCACTTTAGAAAAGACAAGAGTGCCATGTCTCAGGTATTTCTAAAGAAGGCATTTACAGCAGTGAAAAGATTTGCTCAACCAGCCTTATTTTCAATACCACATACAGACTGCTTATTGCTGCAGAAGCCAAGCAGATTTTTTTTTTTTTCCCTATTCACATGCATCGCAGGAGGCTGGGGCTTAGTGAATTACTTTAGGAGGTCAAAACATACTACCTGGCAGTGTTTTGGAGCCGGGTTTTGGTGTCAGTCCTCGAGCCTGAATGATATCCACTTCTAGCTGCCCATTTCGCTCTTGCAAGCCGATTTCCACATCCCCTAAACCAAAACGTCAAAACAGACAGAAAACTCTAAAAACAATAAATCTGTGGGCTACTAAAACATAAAAAGAAAAAAATCTTCATGTCATGTCTGCTAAGAACTGTAACAAACTGTAGGCCCTGAGTACCTGAACTCCTCCTGTGTTACTCTGGTGCAGCTCTCAGTGATTCAAGCCCACATTTTCAAAAGCAATCTCTACTGTCAGCCCTCTAACATGGCTTTGGTGACTCAGTCTCATACTCTTCAGGGCAGCTAGCCTCTCATCTCTTCCAAACTGGAATACCTAGAGCTGCAAGGCTGCTTTGGAAAATGCACTTATGGTGGCCCATAAGAAAATCTTTAGAGCCCTGTGGGCTTTAGAGAGCAAGAAAAA